GTAGGGAAACTCCCTGCCCAGTCTGAATCGACGGACAAGCTGGAGTATGTCGTCCACCCTGCAAACAGATGGACGGGCCATCATGGTAGCAGAGTCCAGATGCATCCCAAGAAAGGTGGTTGTCTGAGATGGAACCAGACAACTCTTTGCCAAGTTGACTTTGAGGCCTAACATTGACACATGAAGTAGAAGCTGGGACGTATCCCTTGAGGCAGCTACCTGAGAGGGAGCACAAAGAAGCCAATCGTCCAGGTATGGCAGAATCCTGACTCCGGAGGCCTGTAGAGGTGAGAGGGCTGCTTTCACGCATCGAGTAAACACCCTCGGGGAAAGGGAGAGCCCGAATGGGAGCACCCGGAATTGCCAATGGCGCCCCCGATAGGCGAACCTGAGAAAACGGCGATGTTCTGCCGCAATAGGCACGTGAAAGTAGGCGTCTGTCAGATCTACTGATGTAAACCAATCTCCCGCCACAATGGTCTGAAGGACCTCTGTTATGGTGAGCATGTGGAAGGGAAGGACCTTCAGGTACCGATTCAGTCCCCTTAGATCTAAAATGGGGCGAAAACCGCCGGTCTTCTTGGCCACAAGGAAGTATGTGGAGTAGTAGCCTCTGGGTTGCTGCAGAGGATCTACAGACTCGATTGCCCCCTTGCCCAGGAGGGCGGAAAGCTCCTGGTCTAGTGCCTGAGATTTCACCGGGTCTGTGATGACAGTCATCTTGACCCGGTGTGAGAGGGGGGGCCGCCGTCGGAACTGGAGCCTGTAGCCATTGGTTAAGGTGGCAACCACCCATGGATCTACGGCATGAGCAGCCCAGAAATTCAGCTGCTGATGGGAAAAATGTCCGACGGCTGGCCCGGTGGCATCATCTTCTATCCCCACGGCCCCTGGGGGCTCTGGGGGGAGGGCGTCCAGGATTTGAGGCCCGGGTCTGTCTAACAGGGCGGCAGACTGGCTCACGAAAGTCCCTTCTCGGTCTCTGCCGCACATCATGGGGATAGGAACCAACAGGTCTGCCACCGGTCTGAGGTCATGGCTGAACGCTGGGGGTAGTGGCAGGGCAGCCCGAACGCTGGGGAAAGGCAGGTATGCTCCTGCGAAGGCCGGAAAGCTGCTGGCTAGTCTGACGTGCCTGAGCAGTCCGTTCCAGCGCCTCCAAGGCAGCTGATCCAAACAGCTCCCCTGGTACAACCGGGACACCCCTGAGGGTCCTACGGCATGCTTCAGTCAGAGGAGACTGTGCCAACCAGACCTGTCTACGAGCTTGGACAAGGAAAGACATGACCCGTCCAAGCTCTCTGGTCATCAGCGCGAAGGCCTGCAGCGCTGCATCACTATAACCAATCGCCGCACTTGCACCACCAGTGTCCTGAACAGATGCAGACAGGGCAAACATGAGGTGCGCCAGAGAATTGCCAAGGCGGCCAGCACGCGCTCCTGCATTGTACGCCTTACAGAGGAGGTCATCTGTAACCCGACATTGAGTCCGCGGGCACCGGACATCAGGACGCAGGGCTTCATCTGGTGACACAATCAGTGAAGCAACAGCTGGTTCAATTGCTGGCATACGGTCCAGGCCGGCCTTCACTGACTCATGCATGGCAGCTAATACACGACCATCCGAAGAGAGACGCGACAGCGCTCTCGGTTCCCGCCAACAGGCGTGTAACTCCTTCAGGTACTCCTCTGATGGAGGTACAGAAAAGGGAGTAGGAGCCCTTCCACGTCTGAAAAAAGCACTGCCAGAGCTGGATGCCTCTCCTTGTGGGAGTTCCAGCTGCAGCTGCTTCAGGGCCATAGACATGACCTCCCGCATGGAACCATCACCGGCCTCTCCAACCGCACTCTGAGATGAAAATGAACCAGCCTCAGAGGCTTGAGAGGACCCTGCCTCCTCCTCATCTCTAAAATGAGAAGCGGAGGCAGCCAGAGAGATAACGTCATCCTCTACAACCAGCTCGGGCATTGGTGGGGAAGAGAGCCCAACCACTGGGAGCGAGGGATCAGATTGCCGTGTCTGCAACAAGGACTTCATCTCTGCCAGCTCTGCTGACAACTGCTCCACCCTTGTGGACAGGCCCTGGTCAGGTTTGGCCCGCTTCCTCCGGGGGAGGGGCACAGATGCTGTGGTCCCACCACGGTGCTTAGAACGCTTGGGGGGAACCACCTGCCCAGAGGGCGGAAGGTCCGAGCCCTCCTGGGGGCACAACTGGGCCAACCGGGCCACCCTCACTGCATGGGGCATAAAGCTGCAGTTCATACAGGGGTTCTCAGACAGCGCCTCCAAAAGGTGCTCATGTCCAAGGCAGGTAGGGCACAGGTCGTGGCCATCCTCTGCCTGCAGGGCAGCCCCACAATCTATGCAGCTGTGAGAGCCATCCATGTCGAAGGCCGACAAGGCTTAAAGAACAGAAAGTTATCGAAAATCGGGAGAGGGGGCGCAAACGCAGCCGTCACCAATTACAGCAGAGAAACGAAAGAGGCTGCGAGCACAAGGCAGCCGATACTGGGAGAGGGGGCGAGAACCGCTACCGTCACCAGGTATAAAACCAATAAACCAAAAAAGCTAACAACGTTAGCTGTATGGAAACTTAAGTTGGAAGTAGGAGCGAACAACGCTGCCGTCACCAATTATAGCGGATAAAACAAGAGAGGCTGCGGACACAAGGCGGCCGATACCGGGAGAGGGGGCGAGATACGCTACCGTCACCAGGTATAAAAGCAATAAACAAAAAAAGCTAACAACGTTAGCTGTATGGCAACTTAAGTAGGGAGTAGGAGCGATAAACGCTGCCGTCACCAATTAAGAGAGCAGACCAACGAAAAGGCTGCAAAAAAAGGTTGATATTGGGAGAGGGGGCGAAAACGCTGCCGTCACCATTTATAATTAAGCAGACCGATGAAGAAGGCTGCAAACAAACCAAAAAAGGCTAACAACGTTAGCCGTCTCCAACTTCGGCAACGAAGTAGACCACACTTGGTTGGGAGAGGGGGCGAAAACCGCGGCCGTCAGTAATTATAGCAGCGCAGACCGGTGAAAAAAAGGATGCAAAAGTAGGGAATATACTGGGAGAGGGGGCGAAAACCGCTGCCGTCACCAGGTATAACACCAACAAACTAAAGAAGCTAACTACGTTAGCCGTATATAACTTCGGCAGTGAAGTTATTCACACTGGGAGTAGGGGCGAAAACGCTGCCGTCACCAGTTCGGAACAAAACAGCACGAAGCTGTAGGTAAAAAGCTAAAGTCGTGAGCCGGGAGAGGGGGCGCGGACGCTACCATCACCAGCAAACAACTCACTTACCTTCCGTAATCTTCAGAATCGGACCGTTGCAGCCCTGGGAGGGCGGAGAATAACCGCAACTCCGGTCAAGAGACAGGGGCTTCAGACAACGGGGAAGTTAGCGAACCGCTTGCGAGAAGAAAAAAAGGAGCAGAGCAAAGGATGACACCAGGCTATATAGCTTCTGAGTGGTCATCCGGTGTCACAGGTGTGACTCTGTTGGTATAATTACTCGAACTGCGCATGCCCGAAGGGAACATTCAGTGCTTTCAGCACCGCCCTCTGGCGGTCAGTAGGGATGAAATAGAAACACAGGCCCATCCTGACCCCTCTGGTGAAGCTGATGTAGAACCACCCAGAGGTGTCAAATAACAAATTACAAATACTGTTATCTTAGATAAGTAGAAATTTTGGCTATCAATACTTTACTGGAATAATAATTTTTTAGACAACTTTTAACTTCTACTCCTTACACGTTACTCGTTAGTTTTGTTTCATTAAAGTTCGTTTGTGTTATGGCCTCTTGGTATTTAAAACAATAAAGTCCATCAAAATAATGTTTTATCCAGATAATTCAGTTCTTTGTGGTTGGAATCTGTACTGCACCAATTTTTTGTTCACCACATACCAATTAAATTGTTTTCAAGATGATGCAAAGTTAAATTTGAGACTGTTACCATTAGTTATAAAACTAAGAAAATTAATCATAAGGAAGTTATCGTCCAGAAAATGTTCCTTTAACAGGGTAGCGCAATAATCAGTATGTGGTTTAAGCATCTTTAAAAAAAATTTCCTGCATTACTTTTACATTTATACTTTTACTTAAGTAAAACACTTAAGTTGATGCTCTTCTAAAGTGTTTTTAAACAATAGGATTTATACTTCTATTTGAGTAATAAACTTTTGACACCATTTGAACCACCACTGCATACTCACCTTTTAGGAAAGATGGTAACAGGGAAAGCTCCCTCCCTCCATTTAAAAAAACAGATTTTTTTGCTGATTTTTACCACCAATCTGAGACCTAATGATTATTTTACCATTTCAAACACTTTGCAAGTTTAAACAGCAGCACACTGGAATCCAATCCTACCTCATCACATTATGGCCAAATCGTTAAACCTCAATAGACCATAAAAACCTTTCCTTTCAAGGTTGTTATCTTGTCTGCAACTGTCAATCTGATCTCTTTGAAACTAATGTTCATCCAGAGATTGTCAGAGTGGTGTCAGATTGGAACAACATGTGCAAATACGTTGGTAATTCAAATCTACAATAAGCCTTTTTTGGATCTCCTCAAAGGTATTTAGGATTTCCCAATTTTCTGATTTATTGGTCAATTGAATGATTCTAGTCAAAAAAGTTTGATACCGGAAAAGAGAAACTATTAGCTGCAATCAATAACGATAACTCAGAAGTTAAGCCTTGTCAGGTTAAAGACACCACGAATCCAGCTCTACTTATCAGAGGTTTTATTTTTAAGTCTTTGCATGGATTTTAGATATTGTCCTTTTTTTAAATGCATTAATTTAGTGTAATATATAATGATACCAACCAGGAAACATTTCTGTAGCTTCTAATCCCACAGCTACAGTACTGAATGTCTCAAGGATGAATGACTTCTTTAAAACCTCAGTCAACGCTGACATCTAGTGATTAAATTTGTGAAGTACATTTTTCCATCTCAGTACAGCTTCTCTGTGTCCTCTGCAGGGTTTGCCTGGTCGTGATGGTGTAGAGGTAAGTTACCTTTATTGTTTTTTGTGCCCAATCTTAAGTCAAAGGCAATATTTATGTCAATTATTTTGTTCATTTATTTTTCTATTTTATCTCAGGGACCGCAGGGAGCCCCTGGGAAGCCGGTATATATAAATAATAATTTATCCTTTTGGACTGAGCTTACTTATTCTTCCTGTATGAGTTTTTTAAACTTTGCTCTCTTCACATTTATCAATCTCTACTGACTGGCAGGGAGAAGATGGAGAACCTGGCTATCCAGGACAGCAGGGTCCTCCAGGGCCAAGGGTAAAACCAAGCTTCTCTGATGCTTAATGTTACTATTTTGAACTCATTTAAAGCATAAATCCTATCTTTTTTTTTATAAACCAGGGGGAACCAGGTACTGGAGAAAAGGGAGAGAGAGGCATGGATGGACTACCAGGAATAAAGGTTAAAAAAAAGGATCTTTAAACAGTGACCATCACTACAATATTAACTCATTTGCATGATTCCCATTCAATACAAACAATAAGAATGCACAAAGTGTTATTTGATTTAACCTTTACTCATCACACAGGGTGATAAAGGAGAGGCAGGAGAGCAAGGACCACAGGGACCCATGGTGTGTTTTTATTTCTGTCTTGAATCCTTTATACTCCCTGTTTTTGTTGCCGGGTGTGTAAATGATATGCGTTCTTTATTCCAAACCTCGCTGCAGGGTTATCCTGGTGAAAAGGGTGCTGCAGGCTCCTCAGATATTGTTGATTTCAACGGGAAGCTTCTAGATGCTTTCCAGGTGAGTTTAATCACATATGATCCAATAGAACCTCCGCACAGGGCTGCACAGTGAAATGTAAGGAAACCTAAGCTGATATGAAAGTTTCTATGTCGCTGTCTCTTCCTGACAGGCCATCAAAACCATCAGTGTTTCGGTAACCTGCCGCTGCTGCTGCATGGTTTTTGGTGGCGTGGCAAATCACTAACACCACTTTTCCTGCTTGTATCAGCGTACACTTTGTGTGTTTCCACCGCACATCACACCTGCCTCAACAGTGTTTTATTTCTGCATTTTTTTTTGTGCATTATGTCAATATTTCTGTCATCAGATGTATTGGATGTCACTATACAGGCCACATCTAGAGAGGCTCACTGAAAGCTAGGGTCTGTTCGGTTCTAGCGCATTCATTTGGGATACAACACACAAGAGGAGTTAATATATAGCAGCTGTGTTGTTTATCAGATAAATGCACAGCCTGCAGGCATGTGTTTAACCATGCAGAACAATCAGCAGGGTTTGTTAAAAGGTTCTAAGTGTGCTGCAGTGTTGTGTAACTCTCACTAAAGTAGAGGATGGAGTGTTTTCTCTGTGATTTTGGTTTTCTCATACAATCCTCATATGTAAACACAATCCCTTAACTTGTTACAACCACAAGACTCAATGTATTTTATTGTGATTTCATGGACCAAACCAACACAGCGTTGTATGTAACTGGAAATTTATAAAAAAAGGAAAACAGGATTAATTGTTTTCAGACAAAAATTCTAAAAAAAAATTTGACTTGCACTACCGTTGTGCATCCTTAGTCACTGTTTTGCATAAGTAGAACCCCCTTTTTCTGCAATTAAAGCTGCACGCCTCTCAGAATATAGCTATCAACTTTATGCTTCTAAAATTAAATATATTTTTTTGCAAAATGGAGGCAAATAATTTATGAATATCTGTTTTTAAGTATTGAAGCTAACTTTCAATTAGGTTTAGTTCTAGCTCAGGATTCTGCAACCTATGGCTGTGGAGGCCCTTTATACACTTGACAATTGTTCTTCATTACTTTGGCTAAAAATTATGAAGAGCCAGATAATCTTGACCAATTGCATTGGATTTCCTAAATAAATTAAGTCTAAATATAACAGAAATGTATTTTTTATCTTTTAAGTGGGAAGAATTTATTTTTTTTCTTTTAACCTAATTCACCAATCCATTTAAAATATATTTATTCTATTTTCATACGTATTTTTGCCTCATTTTAAAACTTTGGAAATGGGGATAATTTCAATAAATCTTTGGTATATATGTCTTTAAAAAAAGGTAATGTTATGTTTACGGCCCTGAAAATGTTTTTTACTGAATGTAAAAATGTCTCTTTGGATTGTAAAGGGGAGTGGCGACATAGTGGTTAGGGCATACAGTAGAGCTTTGAATCCTGAGGTTCTGAGTTTGAGCTCCACTGTAACAGACAGCAACAATGGATTCACCTAATTGGATTTTATTTAATCATTTGGTCATTTTAGAAAGCATTTGTTAGCACTAAATTGTATGACAGGGGTATTAAAGTAAAAGTGGGCTGAATATAAATCTACAAAGATATTTTTCGGGGTTTTTTTAATTGCAAAAAGAAACTTCTTTCACTTTAACATCAAGATTACACTCTGCTTTGTGTTGGTTAATCACATATAATAACAAGAAAATACAATGAGTTTTGGTTGTCAAAAAGAAGCAACTTAAAAAAAACAAGCTGTTTATACAGGAGCAGGAAATCAGAATAAAAAGGCACAACGGCCCTTTTATTACAGTCACATGCCTGACTTGATACACTTGATCCCCATTTTGCCCTGGACCGGGGTTTACATGCTACTGACAGATGACTATCTTCACAGTGGTGTTTGCATTTGATTAAAAACATGTAAGAGCCGATTCCCTTTGGGTCCTGATCTGAAACGAGCTGCTGCAGAGTCACAGCCCAGCAGCCTCAGATGGCTTCAAAGCAGATGTTGAAAACACCAACTGAAGATCATATCACAAAGCTCTCGCCAAGGAGGATCAGCCTACCCAACAGTCTACTCAAAAGGCCTCTGCTGGACCTCTTAATGTGCATAATTCACTCGCCGGCCACCCATGTTGCATTTGGATCAATTCACTTGTTTGTGTGAGAAGCAGGTTCTGGTGTTTCATCTGCGCTGACATGTTATGCACTAATGAATCTGGTGTAAAACAACTGTTTTTGGTTTTTGAGTCTGCTCTTCATTCTGGTTGCATGAGTAGCGCTCACTAATCTATGATGAAATACTCCAAATTGAACGGTGTCGAGTAAAGATCTCCTGATTCCAAGGATTTTATGGAGAACCGAGAGGGAGACCAGCACCTCTGGGAGGCAGCGTGGTTTCCCTTATTATTACTTCAAGATGGCCGCAGCCTTCAGAGGAAGGCGTAACAAGTGTACCGCTGGGGACATGGAGATTAAGGAGCATGATTAAAAAGAGGCTGCTATACAAAGCAGACATCAGGGAGAGAATATGCCAACCATCTATCTCCCATCCAGGGCTGTATGAAGTCAAATGAATGTTTGGCTTCCACTCCTTTCCCCCCAGTCTGCATCAAAACAATCAGCAGCATGAAAAATGACACCAGATTGTTGTGCAGTGCTGCACATCCATTTCACATTATCTGGGAGATAAAATGGCTTCAAGTTGTTTTTGATCAGCATAGGTATGAACATGAGGTGTTTACTACTATATTTACATGGAAAGTGATGAGTAGCATGCAAAACCAAGGGGGGTTGTATTTATTATGCATCGTGTGCAGCCCTTCCAGAGAGCTTGTTTTATTTACAGCACTTGACTGAATTTAAATGGCGAATACTTTTTTCTTTAAGAGGCCAACATGGAATATCATTACCCAACAAGCCATGTCACAAAAGGCTCTTAACATTTTTCAGAAAGATCATTCTAAGGCTAACAAATTCTCTGGATGTAAGTGTTGTGTCTACAGAAGCTGGGATGCATTCTCTCCACTTGAAAAGCAACAAAAACATTTGTTATAGCAGCTTTAATGTGATTAATCTGGAGTAAAATTGAACACATCCCATTTGTCTGATTGTCTCTAGGGTCCACCTGGACCACCAGGACCTCCCGGCCCTCAAGGGGAAAAGGTAAGAAAACACAAATCCTTATTATATTGGAACTTTATCAGCTTTTAAAGGTAGACACATCATAATGGCTCTTTTTAGAGCTTTATTTACCTTTAATGTGATAATTATGCTGTAAATCTTAACTGAAAAAAGTGACATTTTAAAAAAGGGTGCAATAACCTGAATATAGATGTGCATAAAAAGATATAATTCAGTCTCCTTGTGTTAACACCTACCATCAGATACAGTAAATATGATACTTTTGAAATTAGGGTACATTTTTCCTGCAGAATCGATAAAGTATATATATATTTTTTATTGCCTATTTGAACTTTTTTGAATTCCCAGTTTTCAGAGAGAATACTAAGGATCATGAGGATATATTTGTATAAAATTTTCCATTAGATGAATGATATAAAAGGTTTCACAGTGGTACAACAATACCACGGGATGTGGAGTACAGTCATTAGTTTTAATTGGAGGAAATGTTGGACAACAGTAGCATTCCATAACATAGAATGAATGGAAATACAAGAAAGAAAATGCAGCAGAAATTTTTGCCAAGCATTGGTTTTGTTTTGCAACCTTCTCCTGGATTCTCTGTACGTTCGGACTAAGAAGTAAAACAGGAACCGTTCTGCAGCAACAGTTAACATGTTTTTGGCAGCATTTTCTTTATTTATATTTATTTCAGATTGAATCACTGTCTGTATCAAAGTTAGCGAAATGAGAACAAGTTTCAGTTAAAAGGGAAACATGAGAGACAATTAATTCAGCAGTATCACATTGAGTCTAACCATCACCATATGGACCATGGTCTAAATCGCCATAGCAATGACAGCAAATTCAAGTTTTAGGATGGAGTAGTTAAATCGAGATTGTGACTTGCACTTTTGCATAACTAGAACCACCTTTTTCTGCAATTAAAGCTGCAAGCCTTTCAGAATATAACTATCAACTTTATGCATCTAAAATGAAATATTTATTTTTGCAAAATGGAGGCAAAGCATATATGAATATCTGTTTTTAAGTATTGAAGTATTGAACAGTAGTTAAATTGAGATTTTAAACAAGTGGAAAATCTGTGGTGTCACATGAGGAGAGCTGAGAATAGCAAACTTGTTTAAAATGCAAGTAATTTTGAGAACTTTTTGCTTAATTAAGTAGACAAACAGATGTTAAGAGTATTCTTCACTTCAGTAGAAGTGTATAAACCTATGGAAAAAAGAAGATTCTGGTCAAAGTAAAAGTACCAATTGAATTCCTTTACTTTATAGTTATAACGAACAATTTTTATATTCTGTTTTTGCCTTAAATCATACAAAATTCTTTAAAAAAACACTTCTGTTCACAGAAAAAGAGTTAATTCATGAAAATGTTTTATCGTTATCTCCCTTTTATCTCCTCTTTCTTTCATCTTTTCTCCTTTTTTCTGTTTTTCCTCTCCTATTCTACCTACATTGCAGTTTCCATATAATCTGTAAAACTCCCTGCATAATTATAATAAAGCAATTTATATGCATAAATCAAACGGAACACTATGGCGAAAGCCGTACTGCTCCACTTGTGAAAGTAAATGGTGTTGGTAGAAAGAACATTTAAAAAAAAAAAAGGACTGACTTGTCCTGTCCTGCCCTAAACTAAAAATTTCAGTCAGGATCATTTAAATTTAACTTAACAGAAATGCAACTACATGAGTAGATGAACACTTTTGGATCTCCGATATTTACTGCATTACGGTTACATATACCTTTAAAATAGAAAAGAACTGGAGCATACTCAACATCTGAATGTAAAATCTAGTAAAGGGGGAATTAGATGGGAATGTCATGAATATCTTAACCCGATCCGTTATGTGTAATGTCTCCCCGCTCCTCCAGTCTGTAAGCAAACTGGGCTCCAGAGACAGATTCTCTCACGCTCCTGATTTAAGCTCAGAGTAAAAAGTACAGATATTTGCCTTCAAATATAGAAAGTAAAATAAATACGGAAGTAAAGTACTGATACAAAGACAAAAGTTAGATAGGCTCTGTAGACAAATATCATCAAGCCAAGATGTGATGATGGAAAAGTTGAACCAGCAGAGATTCTGTCCAAACAGCTTCACCAAAGTATAGTTTTCAGTTTTTTGCTTTTTTTCATCTGATTCAATAGCGTGCTTTTTTAAGATCCACTGTAGATATTTATGTATCGGTGAGGCCTTTTAAATCCATGCGATAAGTAACATAACTATGCCTCTTTATCCTGAATTAGGGAGAGCTTGGATTACCTGGGCCTGCAGGAGTAGATGGAGAAAAGGTACAATACCTGCAAACTCAATGTTTTAAAGAACGCCAATCAAAACTTGCAGTTATCTTATTGTCCTTAAAATGGAATTCCCTCTGGTGTTTTCACCATCAGGGATCCAAAGGTGATGTGGGTGAAACAGGACCTCCTGGTGAGAGAGGAGAGAAAGGAGAGATGGGTCTGTCTGGACCTTCTGTAAGTTGTGACGGTAAAAGTGTTTCTTTGAAGCGTCATACAGTGAGCTGTGAAAATAACGTTTTTTTTTCTACGTGGATCAGGGGATGGATGGACACAAAGGGGAAAAAGGTGACTGCAGACTGGATGACAACCTGGTTAGTATTAAAAAAAAACACATGAACACTAATTAATGTGTCAGATCCACACAGACATGTTAATTCAGCAGCTTTATGCATTTATTTTAGAAATAACAGAGTAACAATGGGCTGAGACACATTTAATAACCTGATGAACCGGAAACTATTAGTGTTATAGTAGTGCATTTGGTATATAGGGCTGCTCAGTACGGAGTGGTTAGCACTGCTGCCTTGCAGCAAAAAGGTTGCGGGTTTGATTCCTGAACCATTGTCTTTTTGCATGGAGTTTGCATGTTCTCCCTGAGCATGTGTGGGTTCTCTCCGGGTACTCCGGCTTCCTCCACAGTCCAAAAACATGACTGTTAATTGGCTTCTCCTGTTTGTCTCTGTGTTGCTCTGCGATGGACTGGCGACCTGTCCAGGGTGGACCCGCCTCTCGCCCTGTAGACACCTTTAGATAGGCACCAGCTTCCCTCATGACCCCACTCGGGATAAAGTGTGACGGGAAATGGATGGATGGATAATTGAATTATGATTACTATTCATTTATCCATCTACTTTTACAAGTTTAAAACTTTAAAGTATTTTAGTGAAATTTTATTCGATAGACCAACACAAAGCATGGAAAAAGATTTCGGAATAATAGGAAAGCTGTGCAACTTAGATCTGTGTTCAGCCCAAATCTATATTAGGTTTAGTCAGTGCTGCACCTTTATTGAAACTTTTATTACAACATCAACTATTACAGCTCTGGTTAAAAGTTCACGGTTGTTATCGTCCTGTTGGAGGATGGGCATCTGCTCCCATATGAAATCCTCTCAAGAGTCTCCCTTATTTCTTTTACTTCTCTCCCCGTCAGATTCAGATGATTTCTCAGCCGGGGCCTCCTGGTCCCCCTGGACCTCCAGGAGTACCTGGGTCTCCAGGATCCATGGTAAGTATTCCCATCCAGGTTTTCATCCGGCTTTATGAGCCATTTGGATGCTGACACTGTGCCATGTTTTTCAGGGGCTGCATGGTATGCCTGGTCCTAAGGTAAGCTTAGAGGGCTTGGTGAAATTGGTTAAGTGATGAAGTTAGATGAGTAGGTTTGGATCTAAGTGCTAATTTATGTTGTCACCATTCAGGGTGAGCCAGGAATCGGGATTAAAGGAGAGAAGGGAGAACATGGGGCTCCTGGATACAAGGTAAGGCACCGTTTTACTAATAAAGTTATTTACATGTTATGTCATGTGTATTATGCAGCACTGATAGTTAACTTATACTACAGGGACTGGACGGCCACCAGGGTCCACCTGGGGCTCCTGGGTTAGTGGGCCTCCCAGGCGCAAAGGGAGAAAAGGTAAACCCATCTTCACCTCTGTAGTATATGTTTCATAAACCTAATTTGATTCCTGTTGGAAATAAAAAGCATGATTTTTCACTTGTTTGCAGGGTCGACCAGGGGAACCGGGTCTAGATGTGAGTTTATTGAAAGGAAATTAACCGATTGCTTTTTCTTAAAAACATGCATTGAGCCTGATTTTCTGCTCTTCATTCAGGGTTTTCCAGGTCTGAGAGGAGAAAAAGGCGACCGAGGGGAAAAAGGAGACAAGGTTAGTCTGAATGGTACAGATATACCGGGATGTTTTGGCATCCATAGAGAGGATGCTTAAAAAAATATTACCTACACTTTTAGATAGATCAAAGCTTTTAGAAACATTATTTTCTTTTCCGGGGGTTAAAATATGCTGCGATCCAGAGTACTTTTTGTCTCAGCTTCAAGTCTTTATTCTAGAGGAGGACTCCTAGATGCAGAGTGAGCAAAGCTCCAGAAAGGTGCACAAAAACCTCAAAATTTTACCTTTAGTGAACACAAAGGAAGAATGGCATCAGGAAAGAGCAGTTTATGTTCTACAAACACAAATATGTACGCATGTAGGGCTTGTTAAATGCTTTTTGGACTAAAACGGTTACTTTTGGTGAGGGACTTTGGCCTGAAGCAAAGAATAAATGTGAAGAAAAACACGGTGGAGGGTCTGTGCTGCAGTGGGCCTGTTCCTCTTTCAAAGACCCTAGTTATAAAGCATAACATTCAGAAACCAATAAACCTGCAGGTTTAACCTAAAATCATTAAAGTACAAATTTCTTTAAGCTTTTTACCCATACCGGGAGAAGCCATATTCTCTTCTTCCTTCTTAACATGGAGAATTTAATGCTATAATTCCAGACTCCTGCCTTTTCTTTTGTCCTTATAATCACTGTGTGGTTCTGATTGCTGCCTTCTCCGTGTTCCAGGGTGACAGAGGGACGGTCGGGAAGAGAGGTCTGAAGGGTAGCAAGGGAGAGCAGGGTCCTCCAGGACTGGACCAGCCGTGTCCTGTGGTACGTCCCCATCAGACGCCTCCAAACACACAGACACATGTCCTTGTTCAAGCTGCAAACAATATTCTCAGCCTTCTCTTTTCATCTTTAATGGCTTTTCTTCTCTTTTACTCTGTTATTCACTCTCTATGCTGGTTTTCTGAGTTTCTTGCTTAATGCTGTAAATGAGTAACCGAAACCTTCTGACAGGGCTGTGATGAAAGTAAAGATCACTCTGTGAAGGCAGGGCTTTCTTCCCCTGAAACTGCTCCTCTTCCTCCTTCTGGCCCCGAGGCCCCCTGTCCTGTGGTACAGTATCTTTCTTTCTTTCTTCGCTCTAACTTCCTACATTCACTCGTTTTTCATCTATCACAGTGTTTATTTTACAGCCTGAATACTCCTGTACCTTCCTAACATTGTCTCTTCTCCCACAATACATTGTAAGGTTTGCAGCCCTTACTGGCTGCCTGGTAGTATTTATCTTTACTGCTCAACCCATAAACCTGTTTGCTGAAGGCAGAGACTGAAGTTCCCATTATAAATAGCTGCTGAGAGAGATTAGGGGTTTTGCATCTTATCTTAAGGAAAACAAGAAGTTACAAGTTATAAGCTAAAAACTCAGAAAAGGCTCTTAAAAAAAAGGGGTAGACATTACAAAAATGCTTAAGCTGCATATTCTAAAGGATTATATTCATTGATTAAAGGCTTGGTAATGATTGTGGCATTAGGGTTTTTTTTTGTTTGTTTTAAGGCAATCGTTTTTATCAGATTTAAAGTCTGGTGTATTTTATATGTTTAAGTCTGAGATTATAGTATTGCAATAGCAAAAAAATATTTTCAAAGTCTCTTTCAACAAGTTGCTACAGGTATACGAAATTACTCTTATACAGAAATAACCATTTTGATCAAATACTAAGTTGTTTTCCCTATATGTTCTGGCATATTGAGAGTTGCTAATAAGGGTAAGGCATGGTTAGCTTTCAGATCATGGAGAAAAAAATATTAAAACCAGATACTGAGAGGTTAATACTTCAGTTAAAAGTCATCAGACATCATTATTATGACATATTTGCTGGTCAGAGAAATAGATCCAAGCACCAACCCTCCACCTCTGTTTTCACCTGCAGGGACATGATGGGCTTCCAATACCAGGCTGTTGGCATAAGGTGAGTGTTTAAGCTTCGATTCTTGTTCTTAGTCAGTAGTCCCTGAGCTCATTAAAACTGTAGTTTGGAAATAAGGAAGAGTCAAAGTATACAAAGATGCCCTTTTAACTGATTATACACATACTGACTCTGATTTAATGCAGACACACTTTGTGAGTATATCAAAGCGTGGTTTTGAGTTTTTAATGATAAAGCATGTATTTTTGCCTTCCTTTAGTAGGACACTTTAAAACTAATCAGTTTTGCCTTTTTTTTTTTTTTGCAGTGATGACTAACCAGCAGCATGGGACCTGTACATATTGATATGGTATATTTTGCAGCTGTATACTACCCCAACAACCTCTTTTTTTACCTTTTTTTAAAATAAAATCCTTTTATATAATATATTGAAAGATAAAGAATGAGGAAAGGTTTTTTTTTTCATGATGAAGTGTGAAAGCAGCAATGAACTGGCAGTGGGACTTTAAGCTTGAAGGACAGTCCAAATGTCAGTGTTGGAGTAGAAGAGTGCCTCACTAACAAAGTGTGATTGACATGCTGTAACCACAACCACAGAGGGGCTGTATGATGGTGTGTGTTCTCATCCAGATCTCACCGATGGATGGATGTTCAAGAGGGTGGGATTTTTTTTTTTTATAAAGATGGAGGATTGTGGTGTCAGCGCTCTCTTGTCCTCTTTCTCTCTGTTTTCTTTTTCTACAAGGAGGAAATGGCGAGGCAGAAAATCAAACGCAAGCGTCTCTCTCAGCCCTGAAAGGAACGGATCCCGGCAGAGAGGGGATATATAAATTGGCAGAGAGTGTTTGTTTTTATTTAAAAGGGGCTTTTTATGAAGCACAGCTTCTTATCTGATGTGTTTGCGTCACACTCAGATCTTGCGTTACAGAGACTCTCCAGGAGGGGGCGACAGAACTCTGATTTTCCACATTCACCTGTGATGGGAAGGAAACCTGTTGCTGATGATGTTGCGCTGCAGCTGGATAACCAGCTGAAGTTTTCTGGGAGTCATTGACGTCTCTGGCACATAAGGAAGGAAATTACTGTGCAGATACTTTGTTGTCGAAGATTGTTGTAAAATATTAATGCATGGCCATGATGTTTAGCACCCTGACAGCTTGTGGGACATTTGATCAAACCCCAAATATTATTTTTTTCAATTTTTTTCCCCAGTTAACTGTCTTTCATTACACATAAAAGACTTCAGACCTACAGAAATATCATTAAGTCAACTATTGTAAAGCTTACGTGTGTTGTATTGGTTTTGCATATTGTTTTTTCGTTTCTTCAGTTACAGTTTGCATTCCTGTGTATACTGCCTTGATTGCTGAGTAAAATTTGAAGGAACCGTTTGCAGTATTTTGGATCGGTCAGTGTTGCCATGGCAAAGAATCGCCCTCAGCTGATGCACTTCAACTTATAGGACTTCAGCTGCGAAGGAAGGCGGGATGGATTGCTGCTTACAGTATTTTGGACAACAGTAGAAGTTTCATGCTGCTGACTTAAATGTGTGTGTGAGTGTGTCTATATATTTGTGAATCAAAATTAACTCTGAATTTAAGAACAATTATACTTAATAATGTCATTTGAACCAATTATATATGCAATAACTTTTCATTGGTCACAGCTTTTATTTTCTCTCAGATATATATGTTCTGGATGTGTTTTTTTGTTTGTTTTTGCTGTATGGATTTTTAAAGTTACTACAAAAGCTGTCTTTGACATGATACTGCCAGCAGCTCTCTCAGATGGAAACATTCATTGGTGCTTAATTACTTACATTGCAATTTAAACGCACACATCTGCAGTCTTTTAAAAGCCTATTTCTACTGCTTGTTCTGCCTTGTACTTATACACTATTAAATATATGAACATATTTGGAAACCGAGGGAGGATGGATACAGTAAACACAGATGCATTGGGGAACCTTTAAGTAAATTGATGTGTCCTTTTATGTTTTACCTTCCTACATGCAGTATTTTCTTTTAATTAAAAAATGTTTTCTCCTTAAACGTTACTGCAGTTTTTGGATTTCTACGGGTTTATTTAGAATTGAGAAGATTTGAGCACCATCTGCAGTGGATCTAAAGACTATACATAGCCCTGTTAAAATGTTTTCTCTCTGTACTGTAAAGTAATTAGACTGTATTTTTTTAAAGAGTATTTTTATTTTTGATGTATTGTTTTTTTCCCTTTCAGAATTCACCTTAAAAACACATTTATAAGTAAAGAAACTACAAAAATAAAAAAAAATTGCTAAAATAATTTGACATTTGGTATGATGCTACAGAAAAAAAAATTCACTGTTGGTAAAAAGTATAGTTAATGTTAGATTTATGTCAAACGTAGCTTATGGGTCATAAGACATTCTCCATCAATGATATAAAGTCCTGACATCAGCGTTATTTTGTAATGTCAGAAAACTAAGGCTATAACTGAAGGATGTGAACGAATAAGTGTGACTGAAAAAATCCTTCAAGAACAATAAACTGGATTAGATTAATTGTAAACATATTTACAAACAAAACAAACTATCTCATTTGTTTGCTTTTATTTCTTTAAAGTGAGATAGTCTACATATTTTAAGAAACTCCTTTTGAAATGTGTGTTGAGTGAAAGTTAGAAAATGTTTGTAGATATGATCCTCAGTGCTTAAGTTCAAAATACCCAGATTTCTTGTACAATTTTTGTCTTTATTCATATAAATCTATTTGATTTCTGGACCGAGAGTTTTAAGGTTTATACATCTTAGTTTAAACAGGATCAGATCTTAAAAATATTCAATTAAGAGAAGAAGGTTTCTGTATTCAAGTACTTTAATCAGAACAACTCATCGAGTTATGCCAATATAAGCTGGTAATTATCTGCTTTATGTTTAATGCTTTTACAGATTCTGTTCAAACTATTTGCTTGTTATAATGGAGTTGAATTGTGATTAAAGTTTTACATCTTACTCAACCTAACTCTACATTGTTAGAATGACTTTGTGACATTTTTTTTCTCTGGTTGTGTATCTGCTTACAAAATATTCCATCTGTTCTTGCCAAACCAACATGTAGACAGAAAGAAACTTTCAAGTGTTATGAGGTTTTTTCATTATTATTCTCACTTATATGCAGTTCTCTTTATTGATCAAACGGATATGCAAACTTAACTTAATAACTTTAAACTTTTATTAAACTGAATTTACAAGTGAGATCATTTTTAAATATACTATAGTAATATAGTATCTACTATACTATAATCATCAGTATTTGCTGATTATTAGGCATCAATCAGCATTGCTCAGCAGCACATAGCAAAAATAGCCATAACTTCTGACTAGCTTTTTTCTTTTCATTGTGTCACATAACCAGCAACTTCTTTGTATTTTAATGTGATTTTATGTGATAAGACAAACACAAAGCAAGACATAATTGTGAAATGGAATAAAAATGATATGTGCTTTTCAAATCATTTAGACAATAAAAATGGGAACTGTTTGGAGTGCATTTGCATTCGGTCCATATTTATTTGGAGTCTGTGTAAATAAATCTGGTACAGGCTGTTAGGTTCAGAAAATGTAGGTTTGTAAAAGAGAAAGAGATTCAAGCAACTTCTGCAGGAGTGGAAAGAAAAAGCCCAACCCAACTTTAAGCTTTCTTTCTCCTAATCCTCTCCTGCAGCCGTCTTTTATTAACAGAACATAACACATGGTTACAAAACAGTATTTGTTCTGACAGAACAATTGATCAGTTCATAAAGACAGGATGCTCCACCAGAATGACAAGGCAAGATGGTCTCCTGACTGAATCACAAGACACAGTGGAGCATCCCCTTGCACAAATGTTTCATAAGCATAAATTAATTTTATAATCATCATTGAATAAACCTAACACAGACCTTAAACCAGGGTTCTTCTGAGATTTCCCTGCCTCCATCCGACCAAATTCCATCTCCATTACAAACAAAAGCATTTCCAAAGCACGATGCTGCCATCAACAAAGTTCCAGTTTTGTAGTGTTAGAAGCGGTCGTTTTCAACACTAGTATTTAGGTCTGTAAAATATTCACTGTTTAATTTGACAAGAGTATCTTTTTACAAAAGTTTGTGGAGTCCTCTAAATAGCTTGTGACAAACTCTAGATATAATGGCCTTTTTCTTTACATTGACCTTCTTCCCACTCTTTCATAATAGAGAGGTTTGAAGTGTACACCATTAAATGGTAAATGGCCTGTACTTATATAGCGCTTTTTTTTTCAAGTCAGAGGACTTGACCAAAGCGCTTTCCATTACATTCAGTCATTCACCCATTCACTGATGGTGGCAAACTACATTGTAGCCACAGCTGCCCAGGGGCTCACTGACAGAGGCAAGGATGCCATACACTTGGGCCGACCTCCATTAGTAGGCAATGCAGGTGAAGTGTCTCGCGTGAGGACACAATGACACTGAAAACCAGAGCTGGGGCTTGAACCGACAACCCTCTTATTGCAGGGCAAACTCCTTCATCCCCCGTCATTGTCATCCAGAAGATTAGCCAGTTTTCTGTTGGTAGGTTATCCCACCTGAAGTTTGGCTCTCTGCAGCTCCTCCAGAGCCACTGTGAGCCTCTTGGCTTTTTATCTGAACATGCTCTCATTGGCCGGTCTTTAAGTTGAGGTTGACAGCCATGTCTTTTTGCATTTATAATTTTACCATACTTCTTTTTTTCAGATATGTTTTGTTTGGTGCTGAGAGGCTTTTGATGCTGTTTTATTTCCTAATCATCCTTTTAACTTCTCCACAACTGTATACTCGACCTGTTTGGCAAATCTGTTGATCTTCAAGATGCCTTTTGTTAACAGATGATGCAAGGGTCGGTGGATCTGTCTTTGATCCACTTTAACTGGTCAGTAATGCCATCCTGTGGGCGGGTCAATCATCATCAGTGCTTCTACACAACTCTCATTTTTTATACATACTTACTACAAAAGCTTATTTCGTACAGAAATTATCCAGTTGTCATTTTATCAGAAAACTCTTTTGCCTTCTTGCTCTGTATAGTCACAGTAGATCTGGGACCATTTTTTTTAACTGTGTAGTTGTTTGTTACATTATCCACTCTGTCCAAAACATTAAGATAGTAATTTCCTTACATCATCAAACACCATTTAGGGCTCTGCAAATTTTAAAGTGTTTGTATTTGTTCCTACATACAAACAACCAAAGGGCTAAAACTCCTTATTTTAATGGCTTTTAGTCCATATCTAAAACACAGGTATACAACACACACACACACACACCTAAGAGGTAATCTAGAGACATGAATCAACCTAGCAGTCATGTTTTTGGACTGTGGTAGGGAGCCATTGTACCAAAACAAGGGACAATGTGCAGAGTGTGAAAATGCAATCTCCAGGCAGAAAGATCCTAGACCAGGAATCAAACCCAGGACCTTATTGCTGCACGGCAACAGGGCAACAAAATGCACCACTGTGCAGTTAGTGTTAGTTATCTGGTATATAGGAATATTTTACACCACATTGACAATACATTACTTTTTCACATGCAACTAGATTTAAAAACAGAAAAAAAATACTTAAAATATTGAACACATTCTAATATGAATTCTTTTTTTGAAAAGGAATATATAAGCACATGTTCATATTACCCTCAAATTAAAATTGCTTAAATCACATAAGGACAAGTGTAGTGTTACATAATGCACTGACACTGACTTAAATATAGTTATTAATGCACAAAAGCTACTATTCTGACCTAGACTGTTCAAAATGGCTTCAGATTTTACTGGCTGAAACTAAATAATTTTTAATCCCATTCTCTGGGCTCTTGAGATTATTCAAATGTTGATATATATTTAACATTTTTTCACTTAAATTATATCAGAGCAGAGATGTAAAATGAGACACAGAGATGCAAATGCAGGACAGTGGCTCTCGTGGACTGGAGTTGGTTAACAGAATGCTGCTGTTTGTTTTTAAGTGTGTAAATTACAAAGCAGTAATGTATGTTTTTTTTCTACATTTTAACAAAATAAAAAAGACTAAGGGAAAAGCATACCAGAAGACTGTAACAGATAGAGGACTAATGGTAAAAGGTAAAGAAAAGCTGAGGGAAAATCAATTTTAGTAGCCTGCAACTATTGAGGAACCAGATGTAAGACTAAAAGGAGTCAAATAAAGAACTAAGGCAAATAAACAGGATAATTTTGTACTCTTTTATTTCAATTCAATTCAGTTTATTTCTATAGCACCAATTCACAGCATGTCGTCTCAAGGCACTTTACAGTTCACCAGATCATATAGTCAAATTGATTCAAAGTTTTCTATCTAAGAAAAACCAGTTGATTGCATCGACTCATTGACTCTTCAGCAATCCCTCACACTAAGCATGCAGTGGAGAGGAAAAACTCCCTTTTAGCAGGAAGAAACCTCCAGCAGAACCAGGCTCAGTGAGAGCGGCCATCTGCCGAGGCCGACTGGGGTTCAAGGAGACAGAAGCTGAGATACAAAAAGCAGCTGTAAAAGATGGCCTGGTCCAGGAAACACACAAGCTCTGAGCCAGCTCCCATGTCAGAGGATGAAGAGAGCACATCCAGCCAGTCACAGTCAGAGAAACAGGACTACACTGGAAAAACAAGCCAATCTCCAACATCTATAAACAAACGTGTTGATGGCAGCAGCACATTTCAATATCAACCTGATCTAGCACACAGTGTTTCACATCTAATGCCATTTCTACATTTATTTTCGTTGAATCTGCAATTATTACAAGAGCTAAAATGTTCTAGATAGGTAATATGAAATAACGTTTGGGGGTTTTTATGAATGAAGAAAAAGAAAAAAACAGTTTGATACAAGTCCTGTTGTCTTACTGTTTTAAAATACCTTAAACTGCCTTGAGATGACAGGTGTTGTGAATTGGTGCTATATAAATAAACCGAATTGAATTGAATTTAGATATTTGCCACCAAAATGTGTGGAGCGATAAAAGACAGCATATCCCAGAATCCTTTGCGGAGCTTTCA